GTCCCAACTTGGCAGATGTGCCGGCCAAGCGCAGATCCCTTGTAGCTTGCCACACCTCCTGCCCCACCTCATAGGTTGGTGCAGGGCGTCGACGACGGTCCGCGATCTGCCGGTTTCTGGAAGCCGTGCGGGATAACGCGGCCCTGGTCTCACTCCCGTGATGGGCCCGCTTGAGGTGGCACTGCACTGATGGAACCTCGATCTGCCCCTCCTGGGACGGGAACAGCGGCGGTTGATACCCGTAGGCCGTCATGAAGGGGGACCGCCCAGTGGCAGAAGAGACGAGGGTGTTGTGTGCATATTCCACCCAAGGTAAGTGGTCGGCCCAGGACGAGGGACAGTGGAGACACACACAACGAAGGGCCGCACCCAGATCCTGGTTAGCGCGCTCCGCCTGCCCATTGGACTGCGGGTAGTATCCCGACGTCAAACTCGTCGTGGCCCCCAGGGACCGGCAGAACCGCTTCCACACTCTGGATACGAACTGGGGCTCCCAGTCGGATACAATGTCCAGAGGAATGCCATGGAGACGGAAAACGTGCTTGACGAGGAGGTTGGCAGTCTCCAACGCCGACGGCAACTTGGACAGCGGAATGAAGTGGGCTGATTTAGAGAAACGGTCCACAATGGTGAGAATGACGGACCGCCCACGGGATGGAGGAAGACCCGTGACAAAGTCCAGGGAGATGTGGGACCAGGGTTAAGGAGGAAACTGCCCCCACTCCTGAATCCGAGGCGTCCCCCTCTACAACAAAAGGGTGGTCAGGATTAGGATGTTGCAGCACGGGTGGGTTAGTGAATGCTCTTTTTAAGTTTGCGAAAGCTGAGTCCGCATCCGAGTCCCATTTGAACGGGATCTTAATGGAGGTCAACCTGGTTAACGGAAGAGCCTTTTGGCTATAGTTGCGAATAAATCTTCTATAAAAATCAGACAAATATAACCCAAGAAAACAGTGTTTAAATTGTGATTTTTTTTTAAAGGAAAAAATAGTATTCAAAGCTATCTGGCTCGGTGTAAAAAATGTATTGATCCCCTTTTAACTATCAGGAATTAATTTCTTTTGAAAGCCGGGTTCATTTTGACAGACCACACCCATGCCAAATTATCTCCAGTTCAATCAAGAGAGCATTTAAATAGAGCCTTTCTAACAAAAGAAGTCTGCTAAAGTTTCTAAAAAAATGCTGCAACAAAATGTCACAATCTAAAGAAATTCAAAAACAGAAGACAGATAAAATAATTGCTATCAATCAGCCTGGAAAAAGTTGCAACACCTTTTCTAAAGCTCGAGCCAACAACAGTGAGAGCCTTCCACAAATGGAGAAAAAAATGGAACCGTGGTGAACCTTCCAAAGAGCGCTGGAAAAAAATGACCCCAAGAGCACAGCAATGACTCATCCATTGAAGGTCTCGGGGCGTGTGCAGAGCCCAGTTGCAGAGATTGGAGACAAATTTGTAGAAAGGATGATGATTTTATTGACCCAAAGGTGGTGGAGGTTCAAAGTGAGTGGTTAGGTATCAGGGAATGGAATCCAATGGCTGCCTCATTGTCAACAGGGTGTAAAATACAGGACTGGCAGGCAAATTTGAGCAAGGCACAAAACAATCTGACAAATGCAAGTATCAAGGCAGGATGCAAATACGGTATTTTCCGCAGTATAAGGCGCACCTAAAAGCATTCCATTTTCCCCCAAACCGACAGTGCGCCCTATAATAATCCAATGCACTTTATGTATGGTGTTAGAGTCTCTTTATATTCCCCATTGAGTTGTTTCCCTGTTCGTGTTCCTAGACCATTTAGTGGTGATTATTAGCAGGACCCAATTGTAATCTAAAAGGGTTCTGCCCGACACTAATTCAGATGTGCATTCGCCAACACCCACTCAAACAAACAGACAACTACTTTGTGAGCTCTGTGCAGCCATTATGAAGTGAAGATAATGCCACAAGCAGAGTTAACGACTGACTAAACAAAGGAAGAAGGAGACAAGCAAGACTTCTCAGGATATTTAGCCCCTTGTAGATGTGAGCCTTTTTGTTGAATCAATCGTCTTCATAACCTTTGTCTTTCATTTATTGTTTTGTAATTCCATTTGTATTTGGGCTGATCCGGGATTTGAATGCGGGACAGCTCGCACCCAAAGAGAGAATCAGACCCTTACACCAATTGGTTGAGTTGGTATTATTATTCCCAGCGTAGACCTTTACAGATTGCCATTTTAATTTCAGGAAACTATTGTGATATAGTAACTCCCAGTTAAATACAGGCTCCTCTGGGATTTGAACCCTCTCGGACCCGAAGAGAAAGGCATACCCATGGATGGCAATTTTCCGCGGATACGCGCAAATCCGCCGTTTTATTTGTTAAATTGATCATTTTTGTGAATCGTCTAAATCCGTTGAGAAAATTTTAGGGGGGGTCAGGTACCTTATCGTCGAGTTTTCACGAGCTCTCCCGATCAGTCTTTCCATCTTTCGATTGTAAACAGTCCTGCGATTGGACGTGTATGATGTCTTACTTGTTGTGATTGGTCGCTATATCGGCAAATGCAAATCACAACCAGTCCGTGTTCGCCTTCCTAAACCCCTTTCTCGCGAATGCCGAATGTTATCGAGACTTGCGACGAAGCTAAAGTGCGTCAGATAGATGCGGATCTGAAAAACACGTTTCGATGGGACTGGTTGGATAGAAAGCTGACGGTGTCCCCAGTAGGAAACAGTAAAGAGGAACCATTGTGCTTGTGTCGGATTTCGTGAAAAAGCTCGATGTCGCCGGTAAAGCTCTGTGTACAGTGTGTGACGATGTCATTCTATACGGATCGAGAGGATGGAAAGCATTACAGATTCACGCAACCTCGGTGAAACAAATTTTCACTTGAAAGAATAGTGAACAATGTTGGGATTTTTTCTGTTCAAGTTTCAAATAGTGTGTAAATTGAATACATTTCATCTTCAGCATGTTTAGTGCCACTTTTGTAAGTGGCCACGCCCCCGTCCAGGCCACGCCCCCTTCTGCTTTTTTCATCACTAGCCATTGTCATCCCTGCATACCACAAGAGCAACGAGCCACACCCAAGTGATGTAGTATTAGTTTTCCCAGTGTAGACTCTGACACATTTCTCTTTTAAGTTCAGGAAACTATTTTGATGTATTCAGTCCCAGTTAAATTCGAGCTCGTCCGGGATTTGAACCCGGGACCTCTCGCACACGAAGGGAGAATCATACCGCTAGACCAACAAACAACACCCAAGTGATGTAGTATTAGTTTTCCCAGTCTGGACTTTAACACATTGCCATTCTAATTTCAGGTAACTATTTTGATGTATTTAGTCCCAGTCAAATTCGGGCTCATCCGATTTGAAAACTCGCACCTACAGCGAGAATTATAGCCCTATAGACCAGTGGTTTTCAAGTGCTAATTTTCTCAGCGTTGCATTTGACACTTTGCCATTCAAAATTCAGGTATTTTGATCTATAAAGTCACAGGTAACTCAGGGCTCCTCCAGGATTTGAACCTGATACCTTTTTCACAATAAGCGATAATCATACCCCTCGATCCAACATGCAGATCACACAACGGTATTTTTACCAGAGTTGACCTTTACCTATTGGCATTCTAATTTCACTAAATTACAGTACTTCGATTTACTGAGTCACATGTAATCAAGGGCTCGTGTGGGAATTGAATCCAGGACCTCTCACACCCTAAGCGAGAATCATACCCGGAGACCAGTGCTTCTCAAATAGTGGGGCGCACTGCGAGGGGGCTCGTGTGACTCTGGGGAACATAAGTTTTTTTGCAGAAGAAAATAGAATAAAGTGTGGTGCCCTCATTGTCAGAGAGTGCGCAGGGAGTATTAGCGCGATGGTGTAGGTTTTTTTTTGTTTGTTTTGTTTTGGGTTTTTTGCACCGAGCAGGCCATATAAAGTGCAGTAAACAAAGCCTCAGGAGACCATATGATTTTTCTTAATCGGGATTTAAAGAAAGGCGGAAAAAGACGAAGATAATGAGACAAAAGAAAGTGACCCGAAAGCTAAGAAGTCAAGGAATTGTGGGAAGCGTATGTAGCGCTTGGCTTCACTGTGACTACAGTGGGAGACGGACAAGGACGTGTTGACTGTGTCGAAAAATGCTGGCTGCGGACAGCATGAAGACAAATAAATCGAGGCGCCACTTAAAGACATCACACCTCAGTCACGCTGATAAGCCGCTGCAAAACGTGCTCATCACAGCCGTCAATAATCCTGACTTCCTTATTTTGATATAAAAAAACAATTAATAAATCAGCAGAAATTGTTTTATTCGTTTTTGTTTTGTAGACTAAAATATTTTATATATTGTGCTCCTGAGTTAATGTTGCGGAACTGAATTAGAATTGATTATTTATTGATTTAGTTTTAGTTTTCAGAATGAAATGGTGTAATAAATTGGTCAAAAATGTTTACAGTTTAAACATGGATTTTTTTCAGGCAAATTCATGCAAGAAAAATCTTTTTTGTTACAGACTAAAAAACAATGTTAATAAAGTTATTCTTTGCTGTAAGTGGAACCATATTTAATTCTTTTTCTTTTCTTTAATGCTCATAAGGATACAGTTGAATGCAGAGGTGTACTTATAACAATTTTAGAGACAAATTATATTCATAGTGGTGGCAGAGAGTTGGGGGTGGGGGGTCGGGGAGAATTGTTTTCTTCTTGTGAGGGCGGGCGTAACAGAAAATAATTGAGAAGCACTGACCAACTAGACCAACGAGCCACACCCACAAGTGAGTTTGTGCTATTTTTCCCTGTGTAGACCTTAACACATTGCCATATTAATTTCAGGAAACTATTGTTACACTGTATATATACTGTCCATTGGCAGATGTGAATTTGAATTTGATGACCATACATCAATCCTCCATCAACGATAGTAGACATACTGTCATGGGATGATGAGGAGTTGATGGTTGCAAAATTTAACAAATGTGTGGGTTTTTTCCTGTCGTCTCTTTTCTGCAGACACCTTTGAATCGCTCGTGTCCTTCACATCTAATTTGACCAGCACCTTGTTTGACAGCGCCTACTCCAGCCTTGCATCAGAATGTCGACCCCATGTGCTTCACCTTTTCAATGACATTAATCGCCATCTTTTGGGGGACCCCCATTCCTCATTGGAACATGCTGTTGGGAGTTTCTTCAATGAGCTCTTCCCACTGGTCTACCGCCGACTACTCAACCCTGGTATTGGCCACATGTCATCCCGGTCTTTTTCTTCCTCCTCATCCAGTCATGAAGACTGCCTCCGGATGACACGGCAAGATGTCAGTCCATTTGGCCCCCATCCTGGACTCCTGGTTTCCGGTCTTTCTCGTGCTCTGGGAGTAGGCCGAACACTGAGTCGATTGCTAAGATTGGCTGGGGATGTCGTGGATGCAACAGAAAAGGCAGCATTATCCAGAGCGTGTGGGCGGGGCTTAGTAAGGATGCAGTATTGCTCCCATTGCAGAGGTCTGACATTGATCAAGCCCTGTACTGGACTCTGTCTTAATGTTATGAGAGGATGCCTGGTAAGTTTACCCTTTTCTGTCTTTATGTGCATTGTTTTGATATGTGAGTCCTACTTTCCATATTGAGTAGTTCTTAATTCTGCATTGGGTCTTGCATAGCTGACCCCGAGAAAGGTGTGGGGAGACACCTTTCCTAAAAACACAAAAGGTTTGCGTTATTTACTCATTAATTGTTGACAAGAGGTGGCGGTGAGACACGGGGAGGGAAGTCACTGTCAGCACCATAAATCAGCACAGGAAATTTGGTCATGAACAGAAGGCCAGTGGCCAGTGACATATACAGGCACTGGGCTATACGTGCCGATCCTTAAAGATGATTTCAGTAGAGCAGACTAGTGCTCTTGTAATTCACTGGTTAAGTGAATGAGTTGGTCATCCTGCTATCAGGTAGGGGTCGGAGTACCGTAAGTCACATGTGTGCAAGTCTTAACCAAGCAAGGTGCTACACTGGGGCTAGAGGAAACTATGGCCCCCCCATCAGAAATATGCCTACCCACCGTTCAGCCCCACAACCAATATTTATTATCTGACATCTTTATTTTTATTTTTAAACATTAAAAACTGCACACGTCGCTGATGGTGTAGTAATAAACTTGCCTAGCTTGTGCGCGGGCAGCAAATTGTATCGATTCCGACTCAGTGACGGTGTAGATGTGGGTGTGAATGCTCGTTTGTCTTTATATGTGCCCTGCGATTGACTCGCGACCAGTTCAGGGTGTAGTCTGCCTTCCGCCCGAATTCAGGTGGGATAGCCTCCAGCAACACCCCGTGACCCTGTTCAGAATAGGCCGTGTTGAAAATGGATGGATGGATGGATAAAAACTTCACAAGTAGCCTTTCTGTTCCAATAAAATTCCTGCTCTCGCGTTTGTGCAGCAGCAATACCCCATGTGTGTTTGTAAAAGGGAGGGAGTCTTTCAGTTACTTGCGCGTTATGTTAGAGGTTGAACGTATTGATGAAAAGTAAATTAAATGGTAAAAAAAAAAATAATAATAATAATAATTGTTCCCATAATGCCACAGGGCATTTTCTTGTGCATGCGCTTATCAACACTCCGTGGCATTATGGGAAAGAATGCAGAATGGAAATCATGCACTGCAGAAAGTAATACAACCGTAAAAATTACAAGTAAACAATGTTGACTTACTTGATTTTACTAACGTATTGGTATAATGTTGGCCAAATGCTAAAAACATAGCAATTTATTGACTTGCGCAAGTCAAAGCCTCATGGTATTGTGGGAGAAAATGTTAATATTTGCAGCATTTAGCCTATATTTTATCACTGTGTTTGAGTGTATTTTGCAAATCCGTTCGAATGAATTTGCCAGTCAAAAATGTTTACCATGCATTGGCAGTTCCACGCTTCCGTACGAACATGCTTTTGGTGTCTATCATAGTTTTATTGAAAAAAAAAAAAAAACGAGATGGAAAAATCCTGACGCCGTGCCTGGTCTTAAACTTTAAGTAAAAAATAAGTCCGAAATTCCTGTCGTCAAAACAAAGCAAGTCGAGTCCAAAATAAATCTCACTCAATTTGAGCCAAGTCATCACTTGTGTGACGCATGTCTTGAGTCATACAATCTTCAGCAGTCACAACATGCATTGGACTGATAATAACGTTTTTTTTTTCACTGATCATCACACAGAAATGCATTTAGAAATGAACAATTGAGACTATGAAAAAAATAATAGTATACGCGAGAGGTATTGTTCACTATTACACACACACACACACGCACACGCACACGCACACTCACGCACGCACGCACAAACTGCATGTTACTACAGTGGACAGCTTCTCATGTTATCAGGTTACAGGGTGCATGAAAGGGTTAATTCACTCAATTGGGTGCCTCATTTAGTAGCACTGACTTAATTTGGAGTGAAATCAAAATGGTCCTCATTTAGCGGGTAAAGGTAATGTTTCGTTTGCTGTGGTGACCGTGTTATGTTAAAGTGGCTGTTATAACAGTTTACCCAACTTCCTGATGCTACAAATGCATCTGTAAAAGTATTTTTAGACTCTGCAGTTATTTGTGGTGTGAAATGGTTTTATGAATTTTATGAGTTCTGACAGTTTGGAAGGCTGTAAATGTGGAGAGGCTGACCTCTGGTCTGTGGTTGAAAGAGAACACCAGAGGCGAGGAGGGAGAATTGGTGTTTGTGTATGGGACAGTGTTGTTGCGCTTCTGTACTTATTTCTCTTTCATTTTCATTTCTAGCACATATCAACTCACAAAGTAAAAAGGGGAGAAGGACTCTTGTATTGTTTGTATCATTAGCTAGTTTTAAATTTTAACATTTTACAAAAAAACATGAATATTTTTTCTCTTCCTTATACCCTCCAATGTGGTGAAGCTTCATTTCACAATGTCATTCTTTATTTTAGGTGGGGATATCCGAACTTGCGGCACCCTGGGGAAGTTTGGTCGTATTGCTCCAAAGATTAGCTGCAACATTAGCAACCAGTAACAACCACAACAGCATGGAGCTAGCGCTGCTGGCGGTCCGGAATCATGTGAACGATGCCATCCTGCACGCCCAGCTGCATGGTCCACGCATTACTGCCATTGTAAGCAGATCAGGTTAAAACGGGGATCGGTGACGTAGGATTAGAGAGCGGTCCCACAGATGGCTGCACATGCTTTAAAATGTGTCACATGTTAAAATATCCATCCAGACATCCAATCCATTACACAGGGTTTCATTGTAAACCAGAATGAACTCAATTATGCTCACATCCATGTATAATCTTATCATTTGAATTTTGGACATAGAGTCACGAAGGGTGTCGTTTTTTTTTTTTTTTTTTCTTCAGCTCATCAGTTGGACCTCCTCACAAAAGCCTCACACCTAGATAGGCTAAAAACAGAATTCACTCTTTAGAGAATCTGGGCTTTGCTTCAGTCTTTGTGTGAATGTGCGTGTGAATCCAAATCCAGCGTCAGACAAAGGCTCTGGTTGGCAGGACAACCGATACCCAGAATGCTGCTTGTTTCTGAGTGATGAGAACGTTTCAGTGGCTAATCTCTGGACAAACAGACGACACACAAACAGCCCGCACACACTGTTGCAGGAAGCAATAGGGAAGGCGGCCAACATTTGCGAAAAAGCTGTGGACTTAGTGGAGTAGATTCCTGGGAAGTAAACAAACACATACAAACGTAATCGTGCTAATAAGATGATAGCACTTCATGAAATGTTTAATTAGGCCTTCCATTCATTACACATCAAACCAATGCTAACATCCAACCTGTTTAAGAGTTTACATGTTGTCCGTGCAAAATTTCAGGACCTGAAGTTGCGGCCAATGCAGGCGGCAAATCATTTTGAGCAATATTCTAAATATTGAAAAAAATACTGTGATTTATATATAAATAAAAAAATATATTGACATCGCTTAGGTGATGCAGTACCGTTCTACACCACGACAAACTCTTAATGACGATAACAAACATTAAATCAAGAACTCCTGCGAATGTTATGTAGTGTTGAACCACACAGTAGATCAAAATTGTATCCTCAAATATTAGCCGTCGCTCCTTAAGAGGCCATTTCTCAATTATTCATTCAGGGTCGACCTGAACAATGAAACGCTTCACCTCAAATACACAACTTTCTACTGTCTAATGATAAATAAATAAATAAATTGGTGGTGCTACTGTGTGTCTGTCATATTTAGATTTAAGGATGAATAGCTACGCAGGAGAAGCCCGGTGGTCAACTGGTTAGTGCGTCAGCCTCACAGTGCAGGGGTGCAGGGTTTGATTCCGGCTCCGGCCTTCCTGTGTGGAGTTTGCATGGTCTCCCCATGCCTGCGTGGGTTTTCTCCGGGTACTCTGGTTTCCTCTCACAATTCAAAAACATGCATGGCCGGTTAATGGAACACGCTAAATTGTCCCAAGGTCTGAGTGTGAGCCCGAATGGTTGTTCGTTTAGGTGTGCCCTGCAATTGGCTGGCAACCAGTTCAGGGTGTCTCTCGCCTACTGCCCGAAGACAGCTGGGATAGGCTACAGCACATCCATGACTCTTGTGAGGATCAGATAATCAATGGATGGATGGAAGGCACGGCGAGAACATCCAAACCCCACATCAGGGCGGCCTGAGCCCAGAACCAAAACTGAGGCTGATGGGCTAATCGCCACAGTGCTTGTCATTATTTTGTACCATATTATCCCAATTATGTAGCAATATCTATTTGTCAAGATTTAAAGTCCTTATGAAAATGTGTTTGAACCGATTACTTTTATATCTTACCTGAAACAAACACCTGGTCCTCTGTTTGTATGAGTAAATAGACACCACTGGTCACTGTTTTAGGTGATTGTGATCCAATTGTAATCCACGTTTGATACACAACTAACTTGCCAACTAACTTGAAGATCACAACAAATGCTGACAACACCCACAAAATGACCTGAGGCCTCCAGTAATAATAAATTGAATGAACCAATGATGTCATCCGTACAATCCCAAGGCCACGTTTGTCATTGGTCACCTTATTTTTTTGGAAACGACACAGGCTCTCACAAAATCTTTGGCACACTCACTTTTGCTCGAGACATGCTCTGAAGCTTTGGCACATTTCATAAAATCACGAGATATCCCAAATGTTTCAGAAAACAGAATTTTGACCATAACCCGGACATTGACTGCATGCAAACATATTCAATGAAAAGGGAACTATTTGGTCTTATTTTAGGTGATTGTGATCCAATTATTCTTTCAAAACGTGATCATTAGTTTGTTTGTTTTTTTTCCATTCTTGCTGGTTTGTTTAGGTAGAGAAAGTGTGTGGATCACAGGCAGCTACTCCTGTGATGATAAGTGGACATCCCAACACTTCACATGTTACATCACCCACTGCTCGGATGACACAAAAACCCTCAAAGAGGCGGTCTATGACCTCTCTCTCAATGGGCTCTGATGCTTATCTGAGTCTTCAGCTACAGTCTCAGAGGTGAGGTGCTTAAAGTGAACATGTATACTGGTAACAGTGTTGGGAGCAGTGGCGGGCCGTGCATTTCAACCTTAGGCCTTCAGTGACGTCACATACATACACAATACAGGCTCGTCAAGCAAGCACTTAATTTCAGGAGCATTTAAAACCATCAAGTATGCATTCACAATTAAGAGCAGGAAACTAAATTTACAGATATTGTCAAGAATAAAAAGATGATTTAAAAAAGTATGCATTCACAATACCCAAATTACGCTGTGTGATCTTAAACAAGTCTGTCCAACAAATTGCGCAATGTCGCAGTTTCATATAAGACACCAACCAAACAATAACAAACTATTCTTTGAAAATAAAGTAAACAGATCATTTGCATTTTGAAAATCGGCGATACAACAGCAAATAACTGAAAATGTTGAGCAGCTGAGATTGAACGAACTTTCGTGCACGAAGGTGACGACAATGCGCCATTATAAATTGCAGGTGAGCAGATTTATTTGATACATTTTTGTATCTTTGTCATTTTATTTTGTTACCATTAATTTAATACTAACGAAATAAAATGACAAGAAGAAATGTAAAAAAAATTCATTTACTCACCAATGTAGTGCCTGTTCACTGAGCTGCAGATCTACGCGAGTGTCCCCAAACGTTTTTAAACGCACCGTAGCTTGTAAGTGCCCAGCCGTGCTCTGGTGTTTCCTTGCTGCCTTGGTAAAACAACTTCAATTGGTAAATCCAGTGTGGCTCCAAGCACCAAATTGGTCAGTTACAAGCAATAGGCATTCCCAGCAGTACAACTTGCAGCATTTCACAGAGGCTGTGAGCCACGGGTAGCGTTCATAATTGCTTTAGGAGTTGGGCGACCTCTTCGCACAATATCCAGCTTTTCGTGGAAGGCCCGTCTTGAAAATTGTGTGGAAAATAGTTCTGCAACCAGATCAACGTCTTCTCCTTCGGCCATTTTGGGTTAAAATGCAGTGATAACTCTAGCAGGCGCTAATCCAATCTTTTTTTTTTTTTGAAAGAATCTTTATTGAACAAGTGAGGATACAATTCTCAGTAAACAGAAAAGGCGCTAATCCAATCACCGAACGCGCACGGTCAGTCTCGACGTAAGGGCTTCTAGCTGGCCCGAGTACGCAGACGAGGCTATTGCAACCTGACTGTGCCCGTTCACTTACAGCGCACAGGGGCCTGCTCTGTTTAATCTAAAGGCCCCGAGCAAGTTTAATTTACCTGGCAACACAAGCTAGCTGAAATATGATTGGTTAAAAACTGTACCATAATAAATAAGTTATTTATCTAAGTGGAAATAATATGACGTAAAGAATACAGAGAAAATTTTGTTTACATATTTATGAAAATAAAATAACAAATTAAATTTGTTATTCTCAGAAAAGTACATTTATTAAATGTACTTTTCTGAGAATGTTTAGGCCAGCAGAGAAGGCCTTGCTGGCCCTGACGGAACGCCACTGGTTGGGAGTAATCACATAGCATTACGCTCATCGAAGAGCCTATACATATCATAACTTGCAGATGTGATTCTCTTTAGGTCATTCCCTCTCAAAGGATCAAGAGGTGACAAGAGCCGCAGTCTTAAAAAATTATCAAGGTAAATTCATTCCCATTCATATCCATAAGTGAAATTCTGCTGCAAAATGAAATGCAAAAGACCGAAAAAAAAATCATTCAAGAAAATCTTGCCTTACAAACAAATCTGCATATGTTTCAGGGAGTTTGAGGGCTCCATCCAGCGATACGAGTTGTTTTTCTCAGAGCTACCTGAGATGCTTTGTGAAAGTGAAATGGAAGTTGAGCAGCACACGTGTTGGAGTGGTCAAGATGTAGTCGAGAGGTAAACATGAGCCTCAAATAATATTGCTACAATGACTTGCGTGGTCGAGCAACAAATCATGCAAGATACATCTAAGTGAGAATCTTAGGATTTAAGTTTGCTTTTTTGGGTGTGGGTTTTTTTTCTTTGGGATCAGCGATCACCAAGGAAAAGTTTGATGGTGACCATTTTCACATCATTGATATGAACTGTCTGTGCCATCATGCCGTTATTTTTGCATTCTTTGACAATCACTGGCACAGAGCGCAATCCGTGCAGCTGCAAAATATTCACATTTGACTGCTGCAAATGGCATACATTTGTTAAGTAAGATAAGAGAAGAAAACATTTATTTGTCTCATAATGGAGAAATTCCTGATTTACAGCAGCAACATTTTGAAAGGGAGAAAGTAGAAGACAAAAAGCATATAAATAAATATAAACATAAAATATAAATATAAGCATATAACCATGATTATTTTAAATAGATCATCCAATGTGTACTTTTTCTTAATTTGGACACAACAAATGTGTATGACATACTGACAAACGTGCTGTTTTAAATGTATAAATAAATATAAATCTGAGTCACTTACATGAATTGACAAAAAAATGCTAAAATATATATCTAATATGTTGCCCTTAGAGCTAAATATGGTCACCATGTCGAAACGGTGGTAGTAGAAACAGCTCTCGGTATAAAGACATGCAGTGTACAATTGCACACACCACCCCAAATAATACAGACGTTGTTCCACTATGTGTTTCATAAAACTTGTGTACCGGATGTCATTACGGATAGTTGTGCATCCCGTACATGCCTATCGAGCTATTGTCGAGTGAACTGTTATCGCAGTACTGATATATCATAATTTCTGTTCATTAAAAAAAAACAAACACATTTTGATATCTGTCATTCTAAGTGGGTTTTATGTTTGCTTACAAGTTTGGTTCACGGGAGTGTCTACTTTCTACTTAAGTCGCTCTCTGTCCTCTTTAAAACCTCTCTTTCATCCATCAGTCCACCCATTCATCCATGTATTCAACTAACCATTCATCTTTCCATCCTTCTCTTCAGACCTACATTCATCTCCTCCGGCCTCTGACCTAATTCACTTGTGTCAAGAGAGCACAGTGAGATTAAACCAACTGTGACTCTACAAATTGATTAGAAACTATGTGAGCAAGTAATAAAAGTGAGGTTTTAGCTCTTCAAATTTTTGGGGTCTCACCAAAACCCACAAATGGTTAATTATTTGTGTTTTGTAGTTTCGCTTCTCCCAGCGAAGCTTGGTAAAATAATAAAACCAGCGAATCCATTTTCAGTGTAATAGTACATTTTCTCCACTAGAGGGCGGCTCGATTTGATAAGATGAACCCATTACACCCACCGTTTTGATCTGTTCACTCTTGCTACTCCCCTTAGACGTCAATTTGCCGTGGATGTAATTCTATCCACAATACACCACTTATTATGACACTCCTTTGGAACAGATTTTAATCTCAATTACAATCATGTAATAATTTTCAATCTACTTGTGCTTGCTTCTGTGTCTATCTGTGCACATTATCAACACTTCCAATACTTGCTGCAGGGCAGAGGAGTGGGTCTTTGTGAGTGTGTTACTCTTACCTTGCAGTAACCGAAGACCTAACATCTGACCATAACAATCTCAGTATATTATCTTCAGAGATGAAAGTCCTCCAGATTTTCCCAGAATTCCGGGTTTTTCAAATTTTTATGAAAATCTGCCCGGAGAATTGAGGAAAATTTGCCGAAAATTAAGCCGGATATTAGTTGACAACATTGAACGAAGACGCGTTTGAGTTTGTTGTTTTGCTTTCACGAGCGTAGCCGTGTTGAAACACTAACACTAGTAACAGTAAAGAGATTTTCGTCTCTTTATAAACACAGTTGCTAAACCCCAGTGGAACGAACAAAAGACACCATGGACAAGACGGTTGTCGTAAAAAATATATTTGGACAAAAAGGGAAACGCACAGATTGGCAGAAAAAAAGGTCCGTCCGACTTCGAGTGTCGTCTCGGCTAGCTTAGCTTAGCTTAGCTGTTGTGTGTGACGTCGTTGCGTCGGCGCTTATTGGTTGAAATCAAAAGACGCGCTTGCGTAATTGTTCGCGCTGA